ATGTTAAATTAAATTAAATTAAATTAAATTAAATTAAATTAAATTAAATTAAATTAAATTAAATTTGTCTGACAAAGCAGCAGCTCTCATTTACAGTCGTCTCGTTCAGCTCAGTATATTTCTCCTCTCAGTAGAGTTGTTTACAGCGCACGCAATTTCCTGTTAGCCTCTTAGCTTAGCCTCCTTCACAGTGGAGCTGGCACACATACGTCACGGCCAACAGATCCAATCATTTGAAACTTCAACAGAGGCCACGCCTCCAGCAAGAATCGCTTCTCTAGACTCCAGACCCTCGAAGCAAAGTGAAAGACGAGGGTCTGGTTTTTACCAGGCTAGATGGAAACATGTATTTCTATATAGTCTGAAGGGACACTGATTATGGTAAATGGACTGTACTTATATAGCGCCTTTCTACCCAACCAGGACACTCAAAGTGCTTCACAATAACAGWCATTCACCCATGCACACACACATTCACACACTGATGATGGCAAACTACAACTGTAGCCACAGCTGCCCTGGGGCGCACTGACAGAGGTGGGGCTGCCATACACAGGCGCCACCGGACCCTCTGACCACCATCAGTAGGCAAGGCGGGTGAGGTGTCTTGCCGACTGGACGGGGATCGAACTGGCAACCTTCCGGTTCCAGGACTCCCCTAACCACTCTACCACAGCCGCCCCAAAACTAAAATCTGTGCCCCCGTTTACCCATTCACACAGCGCTCTACTAGATCTCCTACAAAGCTAACATGTACAATCATGAGGAAAAGTAAGTCTTGTTTGATCATTTCAAAAGCCCATAAATCATACTGAGAGACACCACGATCAATCAATCATTTATTGGACATATGTCTTCTACTTGTCTCCTAGTGGAAACTGGGTTAGTCTGTTAGGAACTCTCGGGTCACTTTTTTCCCCAGTCCACCCCTGGTCTGACTGTAACGTGAGTCTTTTAGCTGCACAGCTTRAACTCTTTTGCATGTGTTCTCTTTAGCTGTTTTGCATTAAGCTCACAACCATCTTACTTTGCACAGTGTCATGAGACACACATTCAGCTAAAACCCTCTGTTTCATCAGCACTGCAGTGAGCTGTGATATACTGTGTGTTTCAGGGACGGGCAACAGGCACAATCTACGAGCTGCTTTTAGTGCTTTTTTAATAAAAGAAAAATTATAATAATAACATATTTATATAAACATATATTTAGGAGATAAGTACAAAAACAGAAACTTTTTACCAGTGTTGTATAAAGTACCACAAAGTGATACTTGAGTAAAAGTACAAGTATCTTACCGAAAAATTACTTTAAGTGTCCCTTAGGAATATTACTTGAGTAAAAGTCTTAAAGTAAATGATATATATATATA